AAAAAACCTAAAGAACACCCTAAACCAAAAAAAACTTTAAAAGGAACCCTAAAGAATCCTTCAAGAAACCCTCAAGAAACCCGAAAAGAAACCCTACAAAAACCCAAAAAGAAAACCGAAATAAAACCCTAAAGGAACCCTCGATGAAGCCGTAAGGAACCCGTAAAAGAAACCCTAAAGAAACCCCAAACGACACCGTAAAGAAATCCTAAAAGAAACCCTAAATGAAACCCTATATGAAACCCTATATGAAACCCTAAAGAGACCCTGAAAGACATCCCAAAGAAGCGAAAAACGACACCCTAAAGAAACCCTAAAAGAAAACCCTAAAGGAACCCTATATGAAACCCTAAAGAGACAGAGACCCTAAATGACATCCCAAAGAAACCAAAAACGACACCCTAAAGAAACCCTAAATGAACCCTAAATGACATCCTAAAGAAGCCAAAAACGTCACCCTAAAGAAAGGTCAGTCCCTCGCTTAGGCCTACGTTTTTTCTCGCGTAGGACTACGTCCGTGATATATGGCTACACTCTCAATAGGAAGATATATCGATGTATATGAACATGATTTCCAGAGGCTTGTACATGTGTGACAGAGATGATCATCAAGATATTGTCATTGAATCATATGCTGAAGAAGATGTTGCAACGTATCAGGAACGTATTTAAAGTGACTTGACGAAGATGTTAGAAGGTATCAGGAACATTTGGAACGTTACTTGAGGAAGATGTTACAACGTATCAGGAACGTTTTGCAAGTTACTTGACGAAGTTGTTACAACGTGCCAGGAACGTCTTGCAAGTTACTTGCGGAAGATTGTACTACGTATCAGGAACGTGTTGCAAGTCACTTGAAGAAGATGTTAACGACCACAACATTGACAACGCAGTCGCACTAATTTCGGGACGTGTTGGTAGTTTGAATAGATTAAATCAGCAGGTATTCTCCAAGAAATAGCGGGAATTTATCTGATGGATGATTTGCCTAAGTATAAAAAAGGTCCAGAATGGTGTACGACGAAAGTTCTCATTCCACCATGGTGGTCCCATAAACCAACCCCATGTCCCAGCCCCGCGTCCCCAATTGTTGCCCTAAAGGTCTCATTCCACCATACTGGTCCCCTAAACCACCCCATGTCCCAGCCCCGTGTCCCCAAGTGCCCCCTAAACCCACCCCATGTCCCAGCCCCGTGTCCCCAACCCATGTCCCAGCCCCGTGTCCCCAAGTGTTACCTAAAGGTCTCATTCCACCATGCTGGTCCCCTAGACCCACCCCATGTCCCAGCCCCGTGTCCCCAAGTGTCCCCTAAACCCACCCCATGTCGCAGCCCCGTGTCCCCAAGTGTTACCCTAAAGGTCTCATTCCACCTGCTGGTCCCCTAAACCCACCCCATGTCCCAGCCCCGTGTCCCCAAGTGTCCACTAAACCCACCCCATGTCCCAGCCCCGTGTAAAGGTCTCATTCCACCATGCTGGTCCCCTAAACCCACCCCATGTCCCAGCCCCGTGTCCCCCCCCATGTCGCAGCCCCGTGTTCCCAAGTGTTACGCTAAAGGTCTCATTCCACCATGCTGGCAGCATAACCCACCCCATGTCCCAGCCCCGTGTCCCTAAGTGTTGACCTAAAGGTCTGTATCCAATGGAGTTAATCCTGAAGTCCACATCTAAAAATGTCGTCCTAAGTGAGTGAAAAAGTCGTCATAAGTGAGCCTTGGACCCTAAAGAAACCCTAAATAAAACCCTAAATGAAACCCTAAAGAAACCCTAAACGACACCCCAAATGAAGCCCTATATGAAACCCTTAAAGAGACCCTACATGACATCCCAAACAAGCCAAAAACGACACCCTAAAGAAACCCTAAATGAAACCCTAAAGTCCTAAATGAACCCTAAATGGCATCCAAGCCAAAAACGTAACCCTAAAGAAACCTTAAATAAAACCTTAAAGAAACTTTAAATGAAACCTTAAAGAAAACCCTAAAGAAACCCTAAATGAAACCATAAAGAAACCTTAAAAGAAACCCTTAAAAAACCCTAAGCGACAACCTAAAGAAAGCTTCAATGAAACCCTAGAGAATCCCTAAATGAAACCCTAAAGAAACTTTAAAAGGAACCCTAAAGAAACCCTAAACGACGCCCTAAAGAAACCCTCAATGAAACCTTGAACCCTCAAGAACCCCAGAAGAAACCCTAAAGAATCTTTGAAACCACGGAAAGATCATTGAAGACGATCAAGAAAGCGATGAAAACCATCCAGACATCGTTGAAAACCATGGGAAGATGGGTGAAAACTAAAATGTTGCAAGTATCGTGCAAATATTTAAGATTTTAGCTACCCAAATTTGCGACTTCAGCTACGACATGCTGCAAATAGTATGCAAAATGAAAGATTTAAGTTCAAAAACGCAGCAAATAGCACGCAAATAGCAGATTTTGGCTCCAAAATGCAGCAAATAGCACACAAATCAGAGATTTTAGCGCCAAAATGTAGCAAATAGCAAAGAAAACTGCCCCAGACTGAAAAACAAAAAGATCCCTTAAAGAATCATCACCATTTTGTTTTGGGGAGGAAAACGCAGCACGAAACCATGTGTTTTTCCGTTCAATGTGGCTGCTGCCGGCGATGAAAGGTACGTCCTGTGTGCGGCGGGTGCGGCTGCGGTCGTTTCGGGGTCGAATCGGTTCTCCCTTGGTGTTCTGCAACATGTGGATGCAAATTGCATTGTGTGGATGCAAATCGCATTGTAATGGCTGCATGGATGTGTAGGTGGTGCTACAAAACGCATTGTAATGGCTGCATGGTTGTTGCATGGGCTTTGTGTTGGGGAGGAAGCCGGAGCACGAATCCTTGCGTTTTTCCGTGTAATGTGGCTGCACCTGGTGATGAAGGGTAGGTCCTGTGTGCGGCGGGTGCGGCTGCGGTCGTTTCGGGGTCGAATCGGTTCCTGCTTGGTGTTCTGCAACGAGTGGTTGTTCACGTCTGCCATTGAGATGAAGTGTGGAGTGTGAAGTGCAAGAGTGAAGTGTGGAGTGCGGGGTGTGAAGAGTGCAGTGCGAAGAGTGAAGAAAGTGTTCACTTGGCCTTGCATTGCGCCGGGGTCGCGCGCATCTTGGACAGCAGCGCAGCAGTTTGGAAAAAAATGCGCATGCACGGGCCTCGCTCGCGCACGGCGCATGCAAGTACTATAGATGAGAAAGGTCTTATAGTATAACCCTAAGGCAACTTCCGCCCCGCCTCGTGCGGGTACAACTGGTATTAGTTTCATCACATTATAACATGTGGTTGGTAGTTTCCAATATCGTAGCCTTCCAGTCTTACTATCGGAATGCGTTGAAACCAACGTTGGGGTTGGGGATTGGAACATGTTCCCTCCAAACCCCGGCTTCGCCCACACCCAAACAACACATCCAACAGTAACAATATGATATACATATCACCAGAGGATGAACGAAAACACTGGCTATGTGCAGTGATTTTGACTTTAAGTTTTCAAGATTTTGGGTTTTAATTTAAGGTTTAGGGTTTTAGGGTTTGTTGTTTTGGAAAGTAGACAACTTAAACCCTACGCAGGGATTTGAGCATGTCAAAGGATATGCGGGATTCGCCGCGGGCAAGCCTAGGGTTTGCAGCGCGCATGTTTCATTGTCATGGTTCTTGAAATTAATAACCTCGCGTTATCATTGCACACAGCGAATTTTGTAATTTTAATGCGGAAGACAATTGTTTTAGGTTTCTCCATTCTTAGAACCTTCATTGTGGCGATTTCGCGAAACACCTTCAGATGTTGGATATCGTATATGCTGCGACCAATGCTTTGAGGATGTGATGGTAGGGGACATGTGTTGATCACTACCAAGGTTGGGAGCCCCAGAAAATGATCAAAAATGTATCCTTAAAATCTGCCGAGTCGAGCCAGAATATTTCCAATTTGTGCAGTGCGGTGACTGAGTTCTGCCACTGGCTTCCCTCAGCCGCTCCTAGTGAACAAATGTTCCATGATGTTCCTGCTTCACACCCCCACGCTATATATCTTTATATACATTATATATATGTATGCATAAACATATATATACATATATATATATATACACATACATATATATATATATACATATATATATATACATACATATATATACATATATATATACACATACATATATATATATATACACATATATATATATACATACAATGTGGTACCCCCCAGTTATAAGTTAGTTTATAACCCCCATCAACTATAGATATATCTACCATAAGTCCCACTTATTGTAGTTATAAACCAACTTAGCTATCTATGGGGCACCACTATGTACATATATATATATATACATATATATATATATGTATATAGATGTACCCTGTTTTTAAACATGTCCATCCATGCTTCCAACAGATAAAGATCGTCGAATTGGTGGACTTTTGGAGATATCAGTCATTTAGTAGCCAATCTGGGCACTAATCCAAGCACATGGAAGTCCAAGTCTCGTCCAAAGTGGCGCATCTTGGGGCCCGTTGGCGACAGCTTCACACCAAGTTGGGCCCAACAGAGACACAAGAGGAACATTGCTTCAAACGAAGCGCCGCCACGTGGAAAATACCAGTGAAATTTGCATTTTGAGGATTTCGGCTATGTCGAAGTTGGCCCCAAGTCAGGCCAATGTTGCGGCCATGTCGGATCGAAACGGTGCATTTGGACGATTTTGGGCCGATATGCAAAATGTGCAAATTACCGCAGTCCTGTACACTTTTTGAGGAAATCAATGAAATTTATAAAACCCAGGAAACCTTGGGAATCCGTCTAGAAAATCGAGGAAATCCAAAACATGCGCCCACTGTCGAAAACGGGAGCCGGCTGTACCAGGCTGAGAGACCGGTGCACTCGTCACATCCAATGCTAAACTACCACGCCTCGGCACCTTCTGTCCAAAGAAAAGTATGTGGTATACCCACAAGATCCCACCATTATATCCCATAAGCAACTGCATGTCCTGAG